CATACTTTATTATTTCTATCTTATTCCCTACCTTTTTAGATGTTCTATCCTTTTAGATGTTCTATCCTTTAACTGATATTCTTTTTACTTCTAATTTTTCAAAAACAAATAATAACAATGTTATCAATAAAACCAAACTCAGGTCTTCAGAAGCAGCAAAGTATTTATTAACGATTTTGCAAAAACGGGTGCACACACATTAGCAATGAGGTGGACCCAGATCTTAGCAATTGGTCTTCCTTATATTCCCTATCACAGATGCGAAAAGCCCTCCTCCGGTTCCCCAGTGGTTGGGGACTAGGGAGTTTACAACCTATCCGATATGCCTAATACAATTTCCGGAAGTCCTGCCTTAGTTTACATCTCCCATTACTCTACTCCAAAGCCCCCTTACCCCTATTTACAATTGTCCATTTTTGGTACTTCTACTTATGTGTCATATTATAGCCTACTGTGTTCCTGTAGTCTCATAAATAGCTACGGTCTGCGGTTAAACTGGCTGCATCCTGTTGCAGCTACTTACATTCTTCCCCTTTTTCTATTTTTCACAATTCTGCTCTAACGTAAGATCAGGTTTCTTTGTTTCTGCTTGCCCAAAGCCATAACTGTTATGCCATAAACAATTCTCCATATTCATTTATCTCTTAAGCTACTGTAAAAACAACAAACCTACCTATGTTCTATTTCTTACAACAACAAAAACAACATCTGCCTATTCCAGGTCCTTGGGAAGGACTCGATAGGTGGATAAAAATGCCCAAATCCCGTATAAACATCTGGCTAACTGTGCGACCAACCATAATAATAGCATGAAGGTGGGGCAGAAGGACTTCTTCCAGAATAATTTTCACCTCTCTGGTTAAGCTCCGTCTTTGGCATGCCATGATGGTTTTCCATCCAAATAGTAGTGCTTTCAGAGATCCTGGCTAGAAGAGCAAACCATAGTTTGGAGCATGGATGGAGACGAAGGTAGCACTGGATGGGAGCCCCATGAAGCGGCTGCATCTTTTCTGGAGCTTGCATGGCTCCTCTCCGTGATAGTGAGGGGTGCATTTGGTTTCTGGCATTCCCAGCAAGTGCTATGAGAGTATAGTGTGCCATGGCCTTTCTGAACAAGATCCCCTGTTTACACTGATGGCAACCTGAACTGGGTAGTTGGTGCTGATAGTCA